GAAATCCAGACACTTTGCCAACTCCTCGCCCTAGGTTCTAACATGACTGCCGGTATCTTTTCCAAAATGGGTCACCATGCACATGTTACCTCCTGTAGGGGACTTCCCAGGTTGCCCAATTCATGGTGTCTTCCATTAAACCATCAACTTTTAATATATTAACACCCATTTTCCATGTAAGGGAATTCGTATTCATTCACTTTCTTTTGTACTTCCTTGTCTATATTGTCTCCATCCCTGACCCACACCCCTCCAACACCTCGGCATGTCAGCTCCTAAAGATTAGGGACCACTTCTTATTTGTTTACTTCTGTAGTTCAGGCCCTGGCAAAGGTGTCAGGGGTCTGGAAACATCTACTAAATTGAATGAAAGGGCTGGGTCTTATAGTGTCCTACAGTTTCTGTAGTAAAAGCAGATACCCTGGGTTTCATAGCCAAACCTTGTCTTAAAAACCTAAAGGTTAAGGCTTGAAAAGATGGCTCAGTGGTTAAGCGCATTTCTTGCTCTTCTAGAGGACCTAGGTTCGAATTCTGACATCTATATTGTAGTTCACAGTCATCTACAATTCTAGATCCGAGGATTCAGCTCTCTTTTTTGACCTCTGCAAACACCAGGCATGCATGTAGTGCACAGGCAGACAGGTTGGCAGAACACTCAAACACAAATAACTAAACTTTAAAGGTGTATGGGGGTGGAAACTGAGGATATAGCATTGTGGTAGATTGCTTGCCTAGTTCACTCAACACCCTGGGTTTGATACCTAGTACTGCAAACAAACAGACAAAGAACAATAAAAACAAGAATGGAAGAAAGGAAGGGAGAGAGAAGGAAGATGGGAAGGAAGGAGGGACAAAACCCCAAGCGCTTTAAGAGAGTGAAGCAGTGCCTCAAAGAAGAGGGGATGAAGGGTAGAGAGGAAGAAAGATGCAAAGATACTTTTGGCAGGTGCTCAGGACCATGAAACATCAAGGGTGAGTCCAAGACAGGCCCCACGTGGCTGGGAGCACATCCCTCTGATTAGAGTAGTTGGATTTGACAAATAAAATCACAATGTGACCAGGTTAAAAATTAACTTCAGATAAACAGGGAATAATTATTAAAACTATAAGTATGTTATGTGCAATATTTGTGGCATACTACACTTCAAAATTCTCTGTATTTGAAATTCAAGTTGACTGGTCAACTGTCTTTTATGGAGCTACCCTCTCGTGGCTCTTTGCTTGGTTCTAAGTGTTGTGGGAGATCCTACTGACTTTGGTATCCTTTTAAAATACAGAACATTTTGTTTTTGTTCCTGAATAAAGAAGCACACACTCTTTATTGATCTAAAAAAAAAAAAATAAGGACACATGTCACAGAGACAGATGGCAGCTTGTTACAGGAGAATGGTTCTTGAGGCTTAAGGGAAGGTGTCAATGTATTGTTCTGAGCCCATGGTGGCCTCCTGGGATCTGCTTATCCCCTGGAACTTTCCTCCACGGTCCATAGGTGACCTGGAGTAGTGCTTAACTCCCTGGTTGCTGCCAAAGAGAACAGGAGAGAGACATTGGGCTCAGGAGGAAAAGACAGCCTGGGAATGTGAGCTCTCTGGTAATTTGTTCATTCATGCAGTCTCACCAAGTGGTTTCAGAGATGAATTGCATGGGGTGTAGCCTTGAGGCTCTGCCCAGAGAGGGGAGTGCCTCTGTATCCCTGCCTAGTCTCTCCCTCCCTTCTTTCCTTCCTTTCTCCTTCCCTCCCTCCTTCCATTCCTTCTTCCTTTCTTCCCTATTCTTAACTCCCCCCCCCCCAGCCATTTGTCAACTTACTTACCCACTATCCAAAGAGGACTCTAAAGGAATAACTGCTGTACACTGGCCTTATTGTGTTGCCCTATCTTTGCACAGATACCTGCTCCTGATGCATCCACAACTATCCAGCAACATCCAAGTTAACCTAGTTCATTTGCACACTCTTCTCTGATTGGTTGGTACAAATCCACCAGGCCCCTAATCCTCCATTTAGCCTGGTTTTTGGTTTGCTCAGTCCAGTGTCCTGGGATTCTCAGACTTGGCTCTGCTCTGTGTGCTCTTGTCTGCTCAATAAAGTGTCTCTGGTGATCTCTTTGGGTTGAAGTTAAAAATCTGGTTCAACCCCGAGCATTGCCATTGGCAAAATTATGTGATCCTGATGAATCATTTTGCTGTTCTGACACTCTGTTCCTATATCTGTGAGAAGAATTGCCTTGGCTGGATTCTTACGAGAATATTCTGTGGTAGGTAGTATGTTCTCAAAAGCCAGACAGTGTGAGTTCAAACCCTGTTTCTACTTATTGGCAAAATACCCTGAACCAATGACCTATTCTCTTTCATCTGAATGATAAACAAATAAGCCAAATAGTGCTTAGATGTAAAAACACTTGCATGTGCTTTGAACGCAGGTGGTCTAATATGTGTTAGCTATTACTGCGATGGATATTAAAGTCTATTGTCTAAATGTTGTTTATGTCATTATTGTCCAATTCATATGTGAGTGTAGGCTACAAAAAATTAATTGGTTCAGAGTACAGAGCTCCCTTTATGAATACAATTCAAAAGAATTGAAGTCCTAACCTGTTGGGTCTCAGTCTTCACATTTGTAAAGAGTCTGTGACAGCCACATCTCTGCCTGTTTCCCGGGAGAGTTCACGTGCCTGGCCCATTGTAAGCTCTCAGAACAAATATGCTGCCTGTATGGATGCATGGGGCACACGCGTGTCAGTGACATGGCAAGCTGCAGGGTTCTGTCTTAGGTGGCACCTGGACTAACCTGTGGCCCCTGAGACCTAGTGAAGGGAGGCCCACAGAAGAAGGCAGAGGATGAAGGCTGAGTTGAGTGGTCAGCATTACATCTAGATGATGGGATTCTGGTTAAACCAGCCAAAATGATTCTTGCTGGAGACTGGTCAGGGCCGGAAGACATCATCTGGGAGATGTATAGGGTAAAAGGGCCAGTCAAAGAAACCCACCCTGGCCCTGAAACCAGAGCCAGTGAAAGAAACACCATGGCTAGTAAAAGAAAAACTTTAGCCCTGAATCCAGAACCAAAGAAACGTACTCTGACTCTGAAACCAGTGCCAAAAACTCCAACAAAACAAACAAACAACAACAAAACCACACTTTGGCTCTAAAATCAGAGCCAATGAAAGAAATATGCCCTGGTCCTGAAATTAGAGCCAAAAGTTAAAAAGTGCCAGTGAAAGAAACACACTTTGGCCCTGAAACCAGAGTCCAATCTGCCCCTGACCAATTAAGCAGAAAACCAACCAATCCCTGTCCAGGGAAGCAGATCAATCCCTGAGCAGAGATCTAGCCAATCTGAGCATAAGGGACTGAAATCTGGCCAATTCCCACCCTGAAAATCTCCCTGGAAAAATTCTGCCCCTAAGAAGCTCTGCACCTGTTCAGTTTGTTGCTACCATTTTTTCCACCCCTGCAGAGGTAGCCACTTTCCTGGATTCTTCCCTCCCAATAAATCTCTTTAATGAGGTTTGGGTGAGAACTTCTTTCACTGGAATGGATCAGAGGAGAGAAGTAACAACTTTTTGCCAGAATGCCAGAACCAGGCAGGGCTATAACACTTTCACTGGGGAAACCTTCCTCTAGCACCGTGGAGTTGTTACACTTGGGCATACCAGAATAGAACTGTTACTGTTACAACTTCGCCAGGGGAAGCCCTCTCCTGCCCTAGCAGAGACATTACATTGTGGAAACCTTTCCCAGGAGCAGGGCTGCAAGCTGCTACATGTACTGTGACCTGTGTTGTTCCTTGGCTCCCAACTGCCAGAATATTCTTTCATCCTGGCTATAACACGATTACCTGGCTTTCTATTGCCAGCATCTTTCCCATCTGAGCTGTAGCGCTTAGCATTCGATGGCTCCCAACTGCCTGGATCCCTGTCCATCTGAAACGCAACACAAGATGGATGAGGATGAGGAACCTATCAAGAAGTCGGAGTGATTTGATATGAAGAACGTGGGCTCCTTTTAAACTAATTTAGTAATACTCTTTGCCCAAACTGGACCTTATGAGGAAGATTGGCTAGAAGATATTTCGAGAGCCTGACAGAAGTTTGGTCAAGGAGAAACTCTGTCAGTTTGCATGGGAAACATCTGGGAACTAAGTGCCAATATTACCAATAGTTATCTCTGAAGAATAGAAGTAACTTTAAAATTTTAGAGGTATGTGGGGGTGGGGAGTAGGTAAGTGGCACGTGCTTACTGGAGCTAACACTGCGTTTGATGTCTTTCCCCCACTTAAAGCAAGAGTTCCTATTTAGATCATTGTAGGCTCTGTGTGGCTCAGGGGGATGCCACCACTATCGCTCACAGAAAGCGGGGTTGAGACAGAAGTGTGACTTTAGATGTTTTCAAGGAACAGGACAGATCTCTATAGTAACCAGAGAGTACGACCTGAAGGGGAAGAGAAGAGGCTAGACCTTGAAATATCTATCAAGGTTTAGACTTCATTTGATTCCTGACTGTTTTTTTCCTAATACTCAGTCACCTTCGGGAATCTTTTGTTTATTCCTTTTCTTGTTTTTTTTTTTTAAATTTATTTTTTTATTAAAGATTTCTGTCTCTTCCCCGCCACCGCCTCCCATTTCCCTCCCCCTCCCCCAATCAAGTCCCTCGTCAGGGTTCCCTGCCCTGTGGGAAGTCCAAGGAACCCCCACCTCCATCCAAGTCTAGAAAGGTGAGCATCCAAACTGCCTAGGCTCCCACAAAGCCAGTACGTGCAGTAGCATCAAAACCCCCTTGTCATTGTTCTTGAGTTCTCAGTAGTCCTCATTGTCCGCTATGTTTATTCCTTTTCTAAGGCAGATTCAAGCTGCCCTTAATCCTCAATCATCCTCTTCTCCCCCAGGTCTAAGGACTGCAACAATCTAGTTCAGCTTTGCCCGATGTGTGCTAACTACAACGCCCAGCATGCTGTGCGTTCGCCTCGAGCGCGTCGCGCGTTGCTGACGTAGGTATAGCGCGGGGAATTTCGAGTAGAAGGACTGGGCGGCAGGCCGGTAGCTGGTGGCCTTGTCAGGTGCGACCATGGAGACCCTGGCCGAGCCAAGGTGGCCTCCGGGGCTGTCGATGATGAAGGTGAGTGTCCCAGGAAGGCCGGGGCGCGGACGGCGCTGTTGCGAGCGGGGCGGCCCGGGCCGCGCGCTTCCGCCTCGGCCCTACCCTGGCCGGCCTCGCGACGCCGGGTCCAACGCCCGGGACTGTTCGGGAACGCGCAGCGGGCCTATGCCGTGAGCCCGGGATGGCCGCCCTAACGAACCGGGTGTTTTGGGTTTCAGTCACAAGCACCTCGTCATCAGGATAAAGTCACCGGAACGCGGTGTCAACAATGGTGACAGCTCATCCTTGGAAGACTTCTTGTGTGAACAGTGACACCACGCGTGATTTGGGTGGACATTGCATCTGATGACGTTTTATAATCATATAGCAAAACAGGGGATCTGCTTGCCATGGCTTTCCTTTTCTCGCTGAGGTTCACAAGTGCTCCTCGTTCTTAGCACACTGCAGCCGGTTTCTCCCTGATGTGCCCTGCCTGTTTCAACGACACATCTCTCTTTTATTCAACTTTTATTTATTTTATTAGTTTATGAGACAAGCTTTTACTCTAGTCGTTGGCTGGCCTGGAGTTCGGTAGGACCAGTCTAGCCTCTATCCACCTGATCCAACATCCGGAGCGCTATTTTTTTCACCCTTACCCTTGTAACAATGTTTCTCTGCGTAACAGTCTTGACTGCCCTGGAACTCGCTTTGTAGACCAGGCTGGCCTCAAACTCAGAGAGATCCACCTCTGCCTCCCAAGTGCGGAATTAAAGGTGTCCGCCACCATCGCCCAGCTCGCTGGGTTTATAGTCATGGTCAGTGGCCATCCCTGGCTCACATATTTTTTTCTTTTTATTATTTATTTATTAAAGATTTCTGCCTCCTCACCCCTACCTCCTCCCATATCCCTCCCCCTCCCCCAATGAAGTCCCCCTCCCTCATCAGTGGCTCACATCTTTTTAAAACGGAGATTAGGACGTAGGCCCAGTACTTAGCCTTTGAGTTTAAGGAATCATTGCACACTGAATTATTTTACTTAAGTAATATTTACTTGGGTGGATATTTTTTATTTTTTATTTATTTTGACTAAGAATCACTTGGTAACCCTCCTGCCCCTGCCCCAGATATAGACTTTCTCCTTACTTTTTATAAAAGCACTGTATTTCCCTAAGATAGGTTTTTGGTTTTTTTTTCTTTTTTGGCTTGTTTCGTGTTTGAGACAAAGTTTTCCCTTGAGTATTCCTGGCTGTCCTGGAACTCCTTCTATAGACCAGGCTGACCCCAAACTCTGTCTCCCAATGCTGGAATTATAATGTGTGTCACCACTGCCCAGCACAAGTTTTTAATAGCTATATGATATTTTATCATATGGATTGTTAATGACAACTTGTTTGTGTTTGATTTTGAGACAGGCTCCCTGTGTAGTCCAGACACACTTGGAGCTTGCTGGCTAGCTCAAGGTGGTGTCTAACTTTTGGATTCTCCTGCTTCTGCCTCTGAAGTGCTAGGTTTAAAAGTGTGTGCCACCATAATGGTATTTACTTATATTTAAATTATTTATTTATTCTAAACAATTACTTATTTCATTTTGTACATTGAGTGTTTCGCCTCATATATGTATGTGTTCTGCATGCATGCCTGGTGCTTGTAGAGGTCAGAAGAGAGCATTGAATCCCTGGAACCAGAGTCATAAATGGTCATGAGCTGTGGTATGGGTACCAGGAATCCAACCCAGGTCCTCTGCAAGAGCAACTGGTGCTCTTAACTGCTGAGCCATCTCTTCAGTCTCTACAGTTTTTAAGTAACAGATTCATGTGGCTTAAGAAATACTTAAAATGAAACAGATTTCCTTCCTGGCATGCTCCTCAGTTCCTTTATCTTAGTAACTATAATTTATCACTTCATTGTATTTTTACAGAATTTTCTTCATATGTGCAATACATTCTATTTTTGCTTTTGTTTTTATGAGCAGGGTCTCACAGTGTTGCTCTGGCTGTCTTGAAACTATGTAGATCAGGCTGGTCTTGAACTCACAAGCGCTGGGGAACGTGTGCCACTATCTTTAGCTGTAATCTTTATTTTTATTCATATCGCGTGCGTGCATGCATGCCCGTGTGTGTGTGTGTGTGTGTGTGTGTGTGTGTGTGTGTGTGTGTAGCTCAGGGTGGCAGCCAGGGTCACTTTCATGCTAGACAAGGACTCCACCCTTCAGCTACCTCCTCAACTTCCCAAACATTTATTTCTTGAGAATAAAGCAGCCTACCTTACTATCTTCCTATCATTACTTTACTTAAACTAAAGTTTAAGTTGCAAGAGTGAATCCTATTCTGTTTGGCTTGTTGTCCAATTTGACACTGACTGTAGCTAGCTGTTTTGAAGGCTTCCTCGTGTGGCTGCACTGTGGTGAATCATGCAGTAAGTGTTGAACTACCATGAGGAGGATGGGTATTTCAGTCTCGGAGTCCTACCCCAGCCTCCGAAATGCTAGGACTACAGGTGCATGTGGCCATACCCTGCTAGAGGCTTTTTATTGTTTGACTTTACTAGTTTCCAACTTGATCCTTAAGCTATGTGGTGATGGATTGTTGATGTCTTCCACCAAGTGGTTACCATATGCCAGAGGATGGGGTCTGAAGAGCTAGAGTATGGGAGAAGAAGAGCGGAAATGCAGAGCCCTTTGTGAAGGCCTAACAGTATGGCATGAGAATCCACAGTATCAACTGTACAAAGTGACTGGGGTAATCTGAAATTTGAATTTTTAAGTTTTTGTTTTTAATTGTTTTTGGTTTTTCAAAACAGGGTTTTTCTGTGTAATAGCCCTGGCTTTCCTGGAACTTGTTTTATAGACCTGGCGGGCCTCAAAGATTCACCTACCTCTGCCTCCTGAGTGCTGGGATTAAAGGCCTGCCACCACCACAACTAGAGCAAATTTGAATACTTGTGGGAAGGTTTTTCTCTGTCATTAGACTTTCATGTTTATCTGTTGTTAGATTTTGAATATGTATAACTACAAATAATTGTTTTAGGGAAATAGAGGGAAAGTTGTGTGCCAGGCATTGATTCTGTTGTTGATGTCTTGTTGATATACATGTGTTTTAATATTTCAGACAATAGATGATTTGCTACGCTGTGGGATTTGCTTCGAGTATTTCAACATTGCAGTGATAATTCCCCAGTGCTCTCATAACTGTAAGTACATTTTGTTTTGCGTTAGTAAAAGCACAAAGTAGTTTTCATTAACACTGAAGATTCATTCACATGTTCATTTTTCATCATCCATTCCTCTATCTTGTACTTTTAGGAAGGTCTATGCCATTACCTCATCTTAAATATGGTAGTTTCTTACAAGGGTCTTACATTTTCTGCCACCCCCCCCCTTTTGGATATTTTTATATGCTTTTTATTGACTTTACAGCAGTGAAGATTTTGGTAACAATACATGGTTATTTGCTGAGCACTTTAATATGTTAAGCTTTGGGATGTTGCTTTTAGCAGAATGACGGATGAATGTTTCAACCACTTGGTGTGGAATTATAAATCTTAACCTTCAAAAACAATAGGAATGTTGACACGTTTCAGCATGGAATTATATCCCAGTGAGCCTGTCAGGAGGTGAAAATACTGTTAAGTTAAAATTTTGTTAATGCACCTCACTTATTTCCTTTTGTATATAGCACAGTACAGGTAGAATGAACTGACACTCCTGACCAACTGGAGTTGGGAGCTGTGCCTGCCTCCTCTGCCCGGCATTTCAAAAGTATTTTACTGCATATTGCAAGCGAAGGCAGTGGGGAGCAGGATGGAGGAAATCTAAATGTAAATATAGTTTCTATTGAATGAATACTGTTTTTGTATTCTGCTATGGCTGGAAAATTGTCAAACCATTGTAATTCAAGGACCATCTGGATTCCCTCAGAATTCCCTCATTGAAGAGTGTTCAGATGGTTTTATCACTTAGCAGCTGGGTGATACTGAAAAGGGTTATGTAGTGGAATTGTTTATCTTCTTTATGACAAATATGTTTTAAATGCTTGGTGTATAAGCTTATTCATTTGTTTACCTGTTTATTAGGTGATGTCGGTTTGCATGCCCTCATAGATATATACGTAGGCAAGTGCTCTGCTGCTGTGTTCAGATTTTGATAGCTCAAGGTTGTGGAGGCTGGTTAACCTGTCATTTAGGCCATCTAGTTTATTGAATATTTAGATTATGAACTTTTTTTGTCTTCTGCTTTCAAGTGGATATTTGTCTTGGAAAGTTAAAAATCAGTTCAGTTTGGCTTAAAAAAAGGTGGTTTAATTGGGAAAAAGCTTTGACAGAAAGTTCTGTAAAGTCATAAGATGTTGGCAAGTGTCAGCTTTGCAGATAGATACACCTGCGCTTGGCTTCTGAGTGCCACTTACCAAGTGGAGGAGTTTAAAATTATTGTCCAACATTTCTCTAAGTGGAAAAGACTGCGGAGTAATTTTTACTTCAGATAGTTCTGAGAGCTAATATGCCGAACTTGAGGCTGTGGAAGATGGTTTAGTAGGCAAAGTAAGGACATGAATTCTGATCCCTACTACCCACTACAAAGTTTCTGCACCCCGATAAGCCTCTCCTCCTATGCAATAATCCAAATCAGACCGAATCAAACTGAATTAGAAAAACCCACATTTAATGGATAGAAACGCTCCTGGATGACTTTCCAGCCCCCTAGAGAGGAGACGGTAAAGGAAGACCAGAAAACCACTTGTTTGTTCTGTGGGAAAGGCAATTTAAATACCCTGTGGTTGGCCTTGAGCATCTCTGGGGAGGGATCATTGGTGGGCTTTCTCAGGAATGGGGTCTGGACTGAGGCAAGTCCAGGGGAGGGGGCTTGGGGTAGAGCTTCTATACAAACATTCCAGACTCTTTGGACATGTGGATGCCAGGGGCTAGAGTGAAACCTTCACCCAAACATCCACATAAAAGCCAAGGGTAGTGATGTAAACCTATAACCTTAGCACTTGTGTTCAGAGACAGGTGAATCCTGGGGCCTCGCTCTAGTCAACCTACCTGGAAAAACAACAGTAACAACAGAGAATTTCAGGTTCAGTAAGAGACTTTGTCTCAAAAATAAGATGAAAGGTGATTGAGGAGGACACACAACATTGGCATCCATGCAAGTGCTTCCTCATATAATAGCCATACCAAAACCAAAACAAAACAAAACAAAACCCTCACTCCTTGGCTCATTTTGAGTGTATCATTACTTTATCTGTTGCTGTGATAAAACACCATAATGAAGGCAACTTTTGGAAGGAAGGGTTTATTTGATGTGTACCTCCCAGAGAGATAAGAGTCCATCATGATCTCGACAGGGAATTGTGGCTGCAGGCAAGCGTAGAGCCTGAGGGCTCCCATCTTATACCATAAATAGGAAGTGGAGAGATGGAACTTGAAATGGACAGTGTCTTTAAACTCTCAAAGCCTGCTCCCAGTGACTAACTTCCTCCAGCAATGCCACATTTCCTAAGTCTTTCTAAAGCATTACCAGCTGGGAACCAAGTATTCAAATGCCTGAGAAAAATGTAGGCCATTTCATTGAAACCACCACAATGTGCAAGTTAAGACTGCCCATTGGTTTCCGGCTGCCCAGACCCAAAATAATCACACAGAAACTATATGAATTAAAACACTGCTTGGTCTATTATCTTAGGCTTCTATTAACTCTTACTAACTCTTACATATTACATTAACCCTTTTCTATTATTCTGTGTATCGCCACAAGGCTATGGCTTACTGGTTACCCAGTAAGTTCTGGTGTCTGTCTTCTTCTGCAGCTACATGGTGTCTTTCTGTTTCTGCCTACTCTATCTCTTCCAGCCTGACTATATTTTGCCCTGCTATAGGCTGAAGCAGCTTCTTTTATTAACCATGGTAGTAAAACATATTCACAGCATACAGAGGGGAATCCTACATCAATAATGGGTCTTTACAAATGTTAGTTTCCTTCCAGGTAGAGTCATATTAATAGCCACGATCAACATTGGGGATTGTTCCTAAATAAACTTTAATATCTTTACAAACAATAAAAATCATACATTAAAATGAGCATATTCAGTGAGTTCTGACAGATATGTCATATAACAAGTACAGTAAGTTTCTTCAACAGATAATGTGGTCTTTGAAATACCCATAGATCTGTCTATAGCTAGATCTATCATGTGGTATTGTCTTGAATTGATAGGATTGATGGGTCTGAATCCTATTTGTTTATTGCTCCTTACACATTCCAGGATTCATCATGGTAAATCAGTTTATTCTGTTTCACTCTGCTTGTTTGTGTTTAGTTATTAAAGTTTGAATGAATTAAGAAGCAGGTTAGTTAAACTGAATCCAAAGTCACTGTGTTGCTGTTCCAGATGAGGGTCACAAAATTAGGCAGAGCACATTCTGGAATGCTGGTCCTTAGTTGGTTGGATGGTGTTTTCTTACTAGCTAAAAATAATTATTAAATTTTTGTTGAAATAATATGATTTAAAGTGATGTAGTTTTTTTAAAAAAACCATCCACATCCACTGAATTAATGTAAGTGAGAGTCTGGGAAACTAAGTTAAAAGGAGTAACCATCCCTGTAGATGCCTGAGTTCAGCAACCATGGTTAGGAATTTGTGGCTTAAAATATTGCCTGGGAGACTTACTGTCTTAATTACTTTTCTGTTGCTGTTGAAAGATATAATGATCAAGGCAACTTACAGGAGCAAGAATTTATTTGGGATTACAGTTTCAGAGGTTTAGAGTCCATGGCAATCATGGTGGGAAGCATGGCAACAGGCAGGCAATATGGTGCTGGGGCAGTAGCTGAGAGGTCACATTTTGATCCACAACCATGAGATGAGGTAGAGAGACCTGACTGGAAATGGCCCGAGTCTTTTGACACTTCAGAGTCCACCCCTAGTGATAGATCTTCTTCAACAAAGTCACACTTTCTAATCCTTCCCTAACAGTTCCACCAAGTGGCTTATGGGGCCATTTTCGTTCAATCCACTATATTCCACTCTCTGACCTCCATAGACTGGTGGCCATACAATAATGCAAAAATGCATTTTGTCAAGCTTCAAAAGTCTCTATAGTTTTTCAGTCACAACACAATTTAAAAGTCCAAATTCTGTTTTGAAACTCAAGGTAGTGTTTTAATTGTTACTTCCTGTAAACTCAAAATCAGAAAGCAAATTACATAATTCCAGCATACAGTGACATAGAATATACCTTGCCATCCAAAATGGAGAAGAAGGGGCATAGTGAGGAAATACTGGGCCAATACACAGCTGAAACCCAGAAGGACAAACTCCAAATCTTCTAGCTTTTTGTCTGATGTCAGGCCAGGATTTAGACGGTTCTTTCCTTCCATTCCAACTTTGCTGACTGCAGCACACTCCTTGTTCTTGGGCTCCCTGTGTATAGCTCTCCTTGGCAGATATCCCAGGGCTCTGGTATTTCTAATATCTTGGGGTCTCCCAGCATAGTCCAGGCTTCACTGTCACAGCTTCATGCTTTCAGGGCCTTTCAGGGCATTCCTGTGGCAGGCTCTATTTAGCTTTGGAGGAAGATTCCACAACTACTATACTTGTGTATCCTCATGACTGAAAGCAAGAATCTTGTTGATAACACAAATTTTACTGCCCAGTTGGCAAAGAGCCTAGTCCCTCCTTGAATTACATTTGTAGAAGCTTTCCTTTGTTTTTAGCAGCAAAAAATTCCTCAGGCATTTCCTTGTTGGATGGGGTCTTGCCCTGAGTGCACCCCTCCCTTTATTGTATAACAGTTCTTTCTTTAGTCTTCTCAGCTCTTTCAGCAGTCCTTGACTCTGACATTAAATTTTCTGCTGTTCTTTTTCTTCTCAAACTACATTTTGTGTTACCCCCCCCCCTTGCCCCCACAGTTTTGTTCCACTTGCTCTTTTTCACGTAGACTTGCATAAGAGGGATTGCTAAGAACTACTTGACTGAATCAGTATTCAACTGTCTTAAAATCTCTTCTACCAAGGAAATTAATCTGTTTTTAATTTAGGACAAGTGTGAAAAGTAGCCACATTCTTTGCGAGAATATCACAAGAATGCTTTCTATTTCAGTTGCTAATATTGTTCCCCTCTAAAACCTTTTGAGCTGGCCTTCATCGTCCCACATTGCTCTCAGCACTGTTGCCTTCCAAGCTCCTACTAGGATGGCCCACTAAGCCCTACTTCAACTGCTTTCCTAGTCTAAAGTCTCAAAGTCATCCACATTCCTCCTCCCCAAAACAAACAAACAAACCCACCCCAGTATGGTCAGACCTTTCAGAATATTACCCCACTCCTGGAACCAACTTTCAGATCTTTCCAGCAACTGTCAGTCACACTTCAGGTGTTCTCTTTGATGCTGTCTCCAGTAGCTTCAGTATAGTTTTTTTTTTTATTTTTTTTGTTCTGGCTCCTGAGGTGCTTTCTGCCTGTGGTCTCTCCTCCCTGTAGTGCTGCCTGTCTAGTTTTTTGAGGGGAGGGGTAGCAGTTTAGCCTGTGACCTTGCTTTTCTGATTTTCTGATGAATCTGAGGAGAGTTGTTGGCTTTTCAGGTTGCTCACAACTGAATGGCAACTTCCAGCTTCTTTGCAATGCCCAGAGGCTCTCAACCTGTCTTTTGCCTGTCCTTGTCCATAATATGGCCCTTCCTATTTTCCCCTTGGGGCTGTTGTTGGAGCCAGCAATACTTTATTTTTGAATACTTGCACCATCAAAATCATACTGTTTTTGTTTCTCCAACTAAATTGATATGTTTTTAATAAGGCTCCTTACTTAATTCAGCTGAGCTTTGGCTTCATGTAAAGGAGCCACCATTGAGGTATCATCTATTACACCAGATAGTTTCCTTTGGGAATACATCGTACATTGCCTCAGCTATGAAGAATTTAGTAGATACTTATTTCCTGCTTGAGTTGTAATGTAGTTGCCCTGTACTTTGTTGGCTAAGGTAAAAAACCTTAGCCCTGTCTGTTGTTTTGACACTTGCCACCCAAGTACTTGTTAAGCATAGGGTGGTGGGCATCACAGGGTTAGTTAGGGTGTAGGTATCTGGCACATGTATTAAGTAAACCTAGGGCATCTGTGTGTACTGTGGTTCATAAATGGAACAAAGAGGGAGTGGTTTGTGCTCACAGCGTTGTGAGAGCTTAGAAATTTCATTGTACTAGATGTGTTTTCTTAACAGTGCTTTTAGTTACACATATAAATACTTGTGGAGCAAGAAGGTGCTAGAAACTTAAAATTATAATTATAATGATATAATGCTGGAAGTACTCTAGTCTTGGGCCAGAATTTTGTTAATAGTCAGATTCCTATGTTACTGAATAGCATAACTTCCTATGTTGCAATTTGTGTCTTTTTACAGATTGTTCTCTCTGTATAAGAAAATTTTTGTCCTATAAAACTCAGTGCCCAACTTGTTGTGTGGTAAGTTTTTCTTTTCTTTGTAAAAATTTTGTTGATTGGAACAATTTATTTTTTGCTTTCTGTGTCCACAAAAATGCACGGGATTATATGTAGTGACTGAGTTAAACCATTTGACTGTTTCCAGGAAAGACTTCCGAAGTATATATAAGAGATCTGGGTTTTGTTCCACTTCTCATCAAGGGTTTTGATAACCTTAATGTATTTTGTGAGGTAGAAGACTGTAGTACTCTTTGACTCCTACAATTTATGTTTTTATGGTTCCTAACTTTTTATAATTTCTCACTTTGGATGAACACTACTGGTGGGATTCTTTGTTTGTGAAGAACTGATATTTGTATTTGTAGAGGAGGTAGGAGATTGATGGCAACTGGGCTTAACCTGGTCTCTTAGCGCCCTCCCAGACCAGCCCTTCAGAACAAACATTAGCAAGTGTGCTGTCTGTCCCTGAGACTGTTCTTGCAGTTAGAACAGGCAGAGAATGAGATGGAACGGGAGATTAAACCTGTGTCTGGGGAAGGAAAGAAGGGACAGGGCTCTCTTGAAAAGGACACTGGGGAGCTGGAGGTGTGACTGCTCTGGCTGGTACAGCTTGTCAGGATGTCACTGAACTTGTCTAAACTGTTTCCTTGTGCTAAACAGTGCAGTTGCTTCCAACCTTGGAGGTCTTTGCCACTGCTGTGCTGCCTTTGTTCAGCTGGACTTAGCACCAGTGTGTACCAGACAACATCCATGCTGCAGTGCCAGATGGTGTTTCTGTAGTTTTGAGTTCTTATTTTTTAACCTTCTTTGAATAGTTAGTGCCTCTTCCAGTGTTATTACTTAAAAGCCTCTCCTGTTGCTGAGTAATTTGGGGAAAGCTAGTTTTGGTATTTTGAAGAAAAATCCTTGTTCATGTTGGGTTTTTGTTTTAGTGCAGAGTAAACAGCAAATAGTTTTAACATGCTTTTGAGAACTGCAATCAGGCTTCCAGTTAGCAGGTCCTACCTAATTCACTGGCTTAAAAGTTCCATGTTAGTATGAGATGAATCTACTTTATTTAGAAGACTAGTGGGACAGAGAGCCCCAGGAGGACAGGTCAGACATTTTGAAATCAGAATTGTGACAAGTTAATTATTGTTTATGACCTCCATCTTTTGTTTTTCTTTTCTAGGCAGTAACAGAACCAGACCTGAGAAATAATCGTCTTTTAGATGAACTGGTAAAAAGCATGAATTTTGCACGGTATGATTCAGTTTCGTGACTAACCTCTAACTGCCTTTGCCCTTTATGTGTGCCTCTTTTCCATCCCCATTCAGTTAGGGAGTGCAGGGTTACACACTGGAGCAGAAGAAGGGAAGTGGCAATAGCCACTGCACACATGAGAAAGTTCTAATATGTAGTCATAGGGGTTTTTCTATTTGATAGAAAATCTCCTCTTTTGAATAATTAAGAATTAAAGTGTGGATAAATTGACTATTTATAGTTGATGCTGTATTGCTTCTGGGTTCTTAGGGTTTGAGTGGACAGTGCTAGAGAATATATGTGTCTTTGCAGTTGTGTATACTAACTGTATTTGGTTCTATTTGTATGTTTTAACCTATTAATCAGATTTGCTCAGCATGTGTAATATGGTATGCTGTGTGTGATGTGCAACTGCTTCTCTGTAAAGCTCTTATACATAGCTTTGCTTCTTAACTTTCAAATGCATGAGTGTGTGACTGTGAATGTGGTCACCCAATGGGATATAAAAAGGCATGCTTTACCAAACATATCTTGCATTGTTTTAATCATGTTATTAGTCACATGCCCATGTATAGGACTTCTTGGCTTGTTGTAACATTCTTGGAGATATCTTACCTTGCCTCTAAAAATGTCACCAGACTGCTATTAGAATTGCACATTTATTCGTAGGTTTGTATCCTAAAGATGATTACGTTTGGCACTCTGAACTCTCCTGACATTCATTTCAGTAACTCTGGTTAGCTTTTTTCTTAGTGAGGTCACATAAGGGTGGTGTACTATTCTAGATTAAGAAACTATATGGTTCTCTGATTCTCTTATTGAAGAGAGCTTTCTTACTGTAAAGTCTCTTGTTTGTTAGGACTTTTTTGGGGGGTGGGGAATATGTATAGATGTGACATGTGTACTTGTTCATGTGGGTACACTTGCCTGTGTGTGAGGGTATGGAAGCTAGAGATCAGTATTGGGTGCCTTTCTTTGATCACTCCCCTCATTTTGGGGAAGTGTTTCTTACTGACTTGAAGTTCAAAATTTTGGTAGGCTGACTAGCTAATAAGTTTCAGGGGTCTGCCTATTCCTGCCTGGCCAGCCCCAGCTTTTTATGGGGGTTCTGGTGCTTAAACTCAGATTGTCTTGCTTCCACCAAAGTCACTTAATAACTGAGCCATCTCCTCAACTTGTTTTTGTTTTGTTTTATTTTGCTTTTTAAGATTTATTTTTATGTGTCTGTGTATTTGAAGACCCCAAATGGATTCTGTCATTTTCTTGTGCTTGCCTTCTTGGCAGTACCATTGCCAGCACCATCCTTGAGGGGCATGTTTCTTGGATGTTCACCGTGTACAGTGCTGCGGACTTATCTGCAAAATTAGTAAGAATGAAATAGAAGTTAATCGATAGCATTACTTGTTTAAATGCTGTCTAAGATTGATGAAGGGAGAAGTTTAATCTTATGACTAAAATGTAAGGTATTTATATTGCTTGTTGATTTTGTTTCTTGTCTTTCCCATCTGCCATTTCCATTTTATATGCCATTCTGATTTTTAAAAATTTAATATTCTAAATTGAATAATAAGAAGATGTGGGAAATAATTTGAGAGGTTTCAGATACAGGATGATGTGGATCTTTTATATTTTCTTTTGACCTTTGGCATTCATTTTTAAAGAGCACACTTTTTCTTGGTTCATTTTAATTTAAAGTAGTGTCCTAACCTTCATTCTAGCATTTGGACCCTGTGTTTAGGGAAGAAATTCTTTTTTTGTTGTTGTTTTTTGTTTTTCAAGACAAGATTTCTCTGGATAGCTTTGAAACCTGTCCTGGTACTCGCTCTGTAGCCCAGGCTGGCCTTGAACTCACAGAGATCTACCTGCCTCTGCCTCCTGAGTACTGGGATTATTAAAGGCGTGTGCTACCACCACCAGGGAAGAAATTCTTTTTTTTTTTTTTTGATGATGAGAGAAGCACCTGGCTTTTTAATTTATTTTTTATTATTTATTTATTTATTAAAGATTTCTGTCTCCTTCCTGCCACCGCCTCCCATTTCCCTCCCCCTCCCCCCATCAACTCCCCTTCTCTCTTCAGCCCGAATAGCAGTTAGGGTTCTCTGCCCTGTGGGGAGTCCAAGGACCTCCCACTTCCTTCCATGTCTAGTAAGGTGAACATCCAAACAGCCTAGGCTCCCACAAAGCCAGTATGTGCAGTAGGATCAAAACCTAGTGCCATTGTTCTTGACTTCTCAGCAGTCCTCATTGTCTGCTATGTTCAGCAAGTCCGGTTTTATCCCATGCTTTTTCAGACCCAATCCAGCTGACCTTGGTGAGTTCCTGATAGAACATCCCCATTGTCACAGTGTGTGGGTGCACCCCTCATGGCCCTGAGTTCTTTGCTCGTGCTCTCTCTCCTTCTGCTCCTGATTTGGACCTTGGGGTTTCAGTCCGGTGCTCCAATGTGGGTCTCTGTCTCTGTCTCCTTTCATCACCTGATGAAGGTTAATATCCAGGAGGATGCCTATATGTTTTTCTTTGGGTTCACCTTCTTATTTAGCTTCTCTAGGATCACTAATTATAGGCTTAATGTCCTTTATTTATGGCTAGAAACCAATTATGAGTGAGTACATCCCATGTTCCTCTTTTTGGGTCTGGCTTACCTCACTCAGGGTAGTGTTTTCTATTTCTGTCCATTTGCATGCAAAATTCAAGAAGTCATTGTTTTTTACTGCTGAGTAGTACTCTAATATGTATATATTCCATACTTTCTTCATCCATTCTTCCATTGAAGGGCATCTCCAAAATATATAAAGAACTCAAGAAACTAGACTGTAAAAGGCTAATCAACCCAATTATAAAATGGGGCACTGAGCTGAACAGAGAATTCTCAACAGAAGAAGTTCAAATGGCCAAAAGACACTTAAGGTCGTGCTCAACTTCCTTAGCTATCAGGGAAATGTAAATCAAGACAACTTTAAGATACCATCTTACACCTGTCAGAATGGCTAAAATAAAAAACACCAATGATAGCCTTTGCTGGAGAGGTTGTGGAGAAAGGGGTACCCTCATCCATTGCTGGTGGGAATGCAAACTGTGCAACCGCTTTGGAAAGCAGTGTGGCGGTTTCTCAGGAAATTCGGGATCAACTTACCCCTGGACCCAGCAATACCACTCTTGGGAATACACCCAAGAGATGCCCTATCATATTATAAAAGTATATGCCCAACTGTGTTCATAGCAGCATTGTTTGTAATAGCCAGAACCTGGAAAGCTTGGCCCAGTAGCTCAAGCTTCTTATTAATTAATTCTTATAACTTATATCAGCTCATATTTCTTGTCTATGTTAGCCACATCTCTTGGTACCTTATTCGACCGAGATAGTCACATCTTGCTTTCTCTGCGTCTGGGCCACAACTTCAGACTAAAATTTTCCTCTTCCCATGATTCTCAACTGTCATGCCTCTATTTCCTGCCTGGTTGCCGTCACCCTGCTTATACTTCCTGCCTGGCTACTGTATTAAAAATAATACAAGTGACAGGATAAAAGATCATTGCCCCACATCACCCCCCTTTTTTAAAAAAAAACAACAATTCTGAATCTGATACCTTTTGTTTAGCCTTTCTCCTGACCATTATCCGTAACAACTTGTAACCAACATTCTAAACAAAGGAAAATATCCATAGTACATTTTTTAGGATTGTGGCCATAGTTTTTCAGGCTACTTCCTGCTGTTCAGGGTCACTGATAATCTTATGGGTACCTAAAGAAAATTTAGAATTATGATCAAGTCCTGACTGGAGTATCTTGAGAGGCTTGATCATCTCAAGCAATAGTCTTGAATCTGTTCTGGATGTAGAACTCAGACATCTGGGCCATCTTCTCCTATTAGATATTTCTCAAGGGGTTGGGAAGAAATTCTTAATCTTAACCTTTGAACAAAAGTTTAGTTAGATTTTTTTGTTGTTGTGTTTTGAAAGGAGAGCATCCTTTTTGCCCTAAGTGGTAAAGTATTATTTCTTTTTTCTTTTTTTTTTTTAGAGTCCAGTCTCCATCTATAGCATCGGTATTACGAATTGTTTGGGTTGGTCAAGTTTGGAGTTCTCTTTTGATACTCCAAATGTAAGAATTTACGCGTTTTAGTCCCACCCATTTTCAAGGCGGTCAATGACTCTTAGGGGATGGATGAGTTATTTTCCCTCTCTCTCTCTCTCTCTCTCTCTCTCTCCCTCCCTCCCTCCCTCCCCTCTCTTTCTCTCCCTCGCTTCCTTCTCCTCTCCCCTTCCCTCCCCTCCTCTTCTTTTTCTTTGACAGTGTTTCTCTGTGTAACTCCCTGGTTTTCGTGGAACTTCCTCTGTAGACCAGGCTGACCTTAACCTCAAAGATCTTCCTGCCTCTGCTTCCCTAGTTCTGGGATTAAAGGCATGCGCCACGACAACCTGGTGGCAAGGAGTCATTTACTTTAGTACCCATTGATAAACTGTCTCTGCTCTAGTAAGTAATCCCAGACCTATTCTCATGCAAACAACCCTAAGGAAACTTAGTAGGTGGGGGGAAAAAAGAGAAGTAAGAAGCATGATAGGACCAGGACTTGTTGGGAAGAAGATTTCTGAGGAAGTTGGTAGGGTTAATAGGGAGTAAGGGAGGTGAATATGGTCAGTGTACAGTTTTACATGTTTGAAATTGTCAGAGAATTTACAAAAGCATTTTAGATGACAATTATAGCAGAGAATACTCTTAGCATCTCACAAACAGGATGTGGTTGTTGTGGTTGTGATGTCATTTACAGCATGCTGACTTTTGCATTCAGGTGGCACTGTGTAGTGATATTTTAATAAATAAAGCTTGCCTGAAGTCCAGAGAGTAAAATAGCCTCACTGATCAGTCATACAGACCAGGCAGTGGTGACACACACATTTAATTCCGGTAGCCACACTAATTTGCCATAGAAACCGGCAGTAGTGGTGCAAGCCTTTAATCCCAGCACTAGAGAGGAATATAAGACGGGAGGAGACAGCTC